TTAAAAGTAGACGTTGCAATCAGATGGAGATTTTCATTTTAGTTATTGGATGTGATACTGCAATTAACTGACCAGAGTATTAGTTACTATTGACTAGAGTGTGTCATGAAATATTTTAATAAACTGTGTTAGTCTAAACAATTTCAATAAACTTACTTCTGGTGCAACTGTTCAAGTACTGTTTTGGTTCTTGTCATTGTTTACGTCATTTAATAACAACTTCATGGAGTGTTACATTTGTAATTATTAACTTTCTGTTGATAGATATTTTTTTTTTCCTTAATGTTTGAATTTTGATTACGAATCGCTCTTGTCCTCTCTTATTATTTTAAATTGTAAACACGTTGACACTTTCTTTTTAATCTTTTTAGATTTTTCTGGCTTAAACATGTATTTAGCTATTTCACAGTGGTGGAAATAGATGGAACACTAATATTAAATTCAAACTAATTGGCTGGTCATGTTGTATACCCTATGGGCTGTCATCATGTGGACCTGAGCTTAAACGCTACCTACTTCCATTAGGGTTAGGACATATTGATGATTTCTGAAAGAATGTCCACTCTTATTTTTATTTTTTTATGAAATGTCTATCTGGTTTGAAACTGCAGAAGTAAATTAATCAGTAGTGCTTTTTGTTTTAAGTCTTATCCTCTGTAGCTGTCACTGGAGGCAACAATAATAAAATAAAATCTTTCTTTGGCAATGTAAATATTGAATTAACACATAAATATTTGTCACTTTCTGTCTCCAGAGACAAAGTATGTACTTCGATGCTTATTGGAGGTTTTTTTTTGTTTGTCTCCCTTTGTTGGGACAGAAATGTTTGTGGATTAACCTTATTTTAGAATTACCAGTTTTCATTATAAAGAGTCATAAATGATATCATTTGACAAAGTATTTTTAACAATTTGTTGGGATATTTGGGTTGCAAACAATAAATATTTAGTGTATTATTGTCCTATCCTATCTTTTCATCTGTTACTATCTAGTTTTTGTTTAGTGTGTCATTGTTGCTAGATGCTTCTTGGACTGTCTTACATGGTTGCCATTTACTTTTGATAAATTTGATGTTTGACAAACCAGAGAGCGTTTTCTTCCTCTTATTTTCACCTCCAATCAGGTTTCCCAGATGAACATACTTCTCCCAAGGGTACAGTTTTTATGACTTTTTGTCACATTTAAATTTTCAGGCAAGTCTTCAATGCATATAACCAATATAATTTTGTGCCATGATAAGTTACAATTTTTCACTGTTTGCAACAAGACTTACTTTTCTTTGTACGGTACCATACAACTGGTTTCTTAAAGGTTAGCTAGCATGAGTTCAGATATAAATAAAAGGTAACATGTTTAAAAATAAACAAAATTCTTCTCATGTTTCATTTAACTATCTTGAAACTAGTCAGAAATACTAAACATTTTTATTTTACTGCCAACTGAAGAAATGATTTAATCATTTTACTTTAATCACTTTTCATGACCGAAGGAAAAACTTAACCATTACTATGCTTTGAAACTATGTATTTTTATTTCAATCAAATCTCATAACATGCTTAGACATAACATTTTCTGCACTTTGTGTAGTGGTATGTTTTTGTCAGTTATGTAATAACTGTGATAGTAATAGCTGTGAATGATTTTTTTTGGGTCAAAATTTTAGTGCCTTGAAATTGTGACATTTTAAAAAATCTAATTTAAAACATTTAATAGTAGGTGAAACTTTATTGCAGATATTTTTATACAAGAAAATGAGACAATAGACGAATAACAAAGATTCTTGGGAATCATTTTGTTTTCATTCTGATTTATTAAATAAAAAAACCCTACCTAAACACTAGTTTTCTTCAAGTCAAAACTGGTATCAAACTGTAATTGATTAATGTACAGTAATCTTGAACTAATGTATAAACTGGCGAGCATACAATCATTTTTTAAAATTTATTCCTTTAAATGTGTTAATATATTTTTATGATAAGAGGCAACATTTAATGAATTAAATTTAAAAGGTCTCATATATTACAGACGTTTCTTCAAATAAATAAATATGGTCAAAAGTTCTTATGTTGAAGCTTTTTGTTTTATTCGACTATATGAAAGAAAAAATGGCACAGAGAGAGGAATGGGATCGTGATGTAATATTTTTTCTTTGCTAGACCTTCCAATCTTTATTAATGTATGCTTATTGTTTTTTTCTTTAATTATCATCCACAAAAAGATTTAAAGCTAGTCATACTTGTAACCATGTTTTTTTTGTTTGTCTTTTAAAGAGGAACAAAGATTGGCTAACATGTAAAAATGGTTTGTGGAAACCCCATAATGAAAAGAACCTTATTCCCCGTGCTTTTATTTCTGGACATTCTCCCTTGCAGCTCTTTAATGAAGCTAGTATCAGAAGAATCTAGAGTTTTACATTTAAATGATTGGCTTCTGTTGGCCCAGTCTGCTTTCCTCTGCTCTGTCTTCTTTACGCTGACACTTCTGTCTTCTTTACGCTGACACTTCTGTCTTGTTTACGTTGACACTTCAGTCTGCTTTCCTCTGCTCTGTCGTGTTTACGCTGACACTTCAGTCTGCTTTCCTCTGCTCTGTCTTCTTTACGCTGACACTTTAGTCTGCTTTCCTCTGCTCTGTCTAGTTTACGTTGACACTTCAGTCTGCTTTCCTCTGCTCTGTCTTGTTTACGCTGACACTTCAGTCGCTTTCTTCTGCTCTGTCTTGTTTGCGCTGACACTTCAGTCTGCTTTCCTCTGCTCTGTCTTGTTGCTCATTTAGAATCTCATTAACTTAGTATTAAATTTCTTTCTTTACAATTGACTTGTTCTTTGGTTTTGTACCTCAACTCAGCAACCTTACATGTAATATAATGGTTGGTAAATGTTTCACTTTGATTAAATTGTAACAGTATGTCATACATTCCCACCAGTATCCCTCATCTGATCCCACCTTTATTTTACTACAGAAGTATCACTCAACTTTTCACACCCTTTATGCTTATTGTGCAGAGAATTCTCGTACACGTCATGTCTTAATTCATTGTTTCATTTCCTTGGTCAGGTTTTCTACAGCATTTAAACATGTCATACCCCAACTATATATTTCAAACTGTTTTGTGTAGATCTATAGTCTGTGTATATTATTAACTATGATGTAATGTGGGTGTTGTTGTTTTTTTGGGTTTATGTAATAACAATTTTTGACAAAAAATGCAATCTAAATTTGTTGTGTAAATATTTTGTTGAATGACCCTTACTTGTCCTTATGGGCTGAATGTAAAGTGTAGTAAAACATAGATATAATGAAAGTCTCGCATTTTCATTGGAAAAGAACTTAAAAAAAAAATATATAAATAAACAGGAATGAAGGAAAATTACAGTTTCATTCTGATCTATATTTTCAGTGATGAGATGAATGGCATATACAAATTGTAAAGCTTTGTAAGGTTCAAAGACATTTCATTGATGAAGGTATTTTTTTTAATTCTTAAACTGTACAAGAGAAAGATATTTTTATTTGAACAAGGCTGATAAAAGAAAGTTAACATTTTCTAGACCTAAGCAAGACTCCCTATCTTAGAAATGAGCAATTTATGTTTTCTAGATTTAAGAAAGTAAAACTCTCCATGTTAAAATGCTTTAATATTGAGATTTTTGTGTGTGTTACTGTTCTATTTTATTTTGGTTTGCATTCAAATGATGTTACTATGATACAAAGACTGTAGGGTGGAAATACTTAGACCAATGAGGTTTTCACATGACTAAAGTGTGTAGTTCTCTAACATGACAACAAGTAATCTTATGGGAAATGACAGAACTTCTTTGTTACAGCTCCTCAGCGCACAGGACTCTCATGTATACTATTACATTCTCATTTATTTGGTCATTATTCAAGTTGTTTTTCCAGTGGAATATCAAAACATCCCTAGTTCCCTAGTGTTTTGTTTTTTTTACTGTTAATCATTTTTAATGCTTCTGAATTTTGGTACTGAGTAGGATATTTTCTTTATATTTTAATTCATTGACAGTGGATCTTCTAAACTATACCATACTTATTTTTTTTATGTTAAGATTCTTGGTAGTTAATTATAGAGTTTGCACAGCAAGAGAATGTATTACATTTATTAGACTGGCGGAAAGTCATTTGGGGGAACATTTTCTTGAAAGCAAACTTGTGCAGAGTTACTAGTTTAGGCTTTAAGGGATTAGTTCTTCTAGTCTTGACTATGACTTAACGACTAGTAGGGCTCTATTTTTAGATTCTTGTTTTGAAATAAATCAATCTATTAATTGCTCCAGAGAAAATGAAATTTGGACTGAATGACTGCTTTAGTTCTACACATAGCTTAATGACTTGTAGGGATTAGACTCTTGCAATAGACGACACATGACTTGGCTGTGATACTATGACATTAGAAGGACTTGTAAAAAAATTAAAAAATAGTCTAAGCTCTAGTAAGCTGGAGTTGAGTTTACTATGTGATAAATTTGTTGAACTGTCATCTATTAGCCTCCTGTATATAAAGCACATATTATTTGTGATGTACCAGCAACTGACTTAGGAACAAAGTCTTGTCTGAAAGCAAATAGACTTGATAAAGTTGAATATTTGGATGTTAAATTCATGTAGTTCTTTCAATTGTACTACTGTTTGACTAATTAGTGTCACTAATTCTATTCATTTATTATTACTGCAGTGTTTAGCTCAATTAGTTGTTTTTTTTTTAAGTGTGACCTAAATGTTATATGTTTCTAAATTTGGAAAAATAATGTACCGGCAGTTGTAAGTTATCTATATATATATATATATATAAGTTGGTAAATAGCTACTTTGATGTGTTTGTGATTGAAAAACTAAGAACTTATTGATGCATCTACAAAGACATATTTCTATTATTACCCCGAGTACAATGTGGATTATGAGCTGACAGTTGTGACTGGGGAAAGATGTCCACTTAGTTTACTGCTGGCTCCTAGTCCTCTCTTACATATTTCATGTCAATACTTTTTTTTTTTTTTTGGTCAGCTGGCAAACTAGACAAAGTCATCTATAAGCAATGGATTGTTCTCCAGGCTTGTTTACATTCAACTCACTTCAAAAGGATCATATCTAAACATGATTTTGTCCATGATAATTCAGTTGTATCAGACACTGAATACATGCTCAGTTCACTTTAGCTTGATTCTAATTATTTATTGTGTATATAGATATTTGTTTCGGTAAATTCTCATTGTGTATATTTTCAGTTCACAATTTGTAACTTTCTTTTCCTCATTCCTTTATTTATAGCATTTAAAGATATCTTAAAAATTAAAAAGCGTTTTGAGAGATGCTGTTTATACTATTAACTTATGACTTGATGACATGTTGTACCATAAAGAGTTGACTTTATGACTTATCATCCTTCTAAAAAGAAACTGTCCATCAGCTAATATGTCCAACTGAGCCACGATTTTTTCGTCACACATTTATTCAACCAAATAAAATTCAATTTGATGATGCACACCAAAATAAAAATGAGTTCGTTTCATTATGTTGTCTTTACTTGAGAATTTCTATGTGAATAAATCTTCAGAGTAGTCTCCCTGCCCGCGTTCGCAATAGGTTAAAGTTCGCGAGAATGACAGGTCGCTGGAATATGTGTAACTATTGATGAAAGCGTTAGAACAAAGGTAAGGGTTAAGAAAGGCCTGGTCCTGTGGTGTACGCTCTGGACTATCGCCTCGATGATGCCTGGTTCAAACTCTGGGCGTGGGGTGGGCGCAGTGTCTGCAAAGGGGGAGTTGTGTGGAGTTTATTTTGTTCAGATGGTAATTTAATGGTGTGTGTCCTGTTCTTAGTTGGAAAATTGTAGATTGTTCTTTGCGGGGGAGGAAGTTAATACTGTCCAGTTTGTTAGGCGTAGTCATTTCTTTGTGCATGGCTCTGCCTGTATTTCCTGGTGCCCATTGGTTGAGCCACTCCACTTTGTGATTGTTGACTAACATTGACCTTAGGGTGAGGTAGTTAACAGGTCCAACTGGTTGTTCCATAGATGAACCTGCCTTTGATAGTTTATCTGCCTTTTCATTTCCCATGATGCCAATGTGTTCAGGGATCCACTGTAGAAAGCGAAGATACGACTAACCTTGAACTGGTGCATGCGGGGGTTGTGCCCTGTACTGAGACAGGTGAACCCTACACTGCCAGATACCTGAACCGCACAGTAAGGGATTAATCTATAGACGGAGCCCTAGTGCATGGAGGCTTACAAATGACACATTATTCAAATCTGCAGATAGAGGCCACTTTCATTTTGACTACAAGTTTTCAGCAGTTATAATACAACCACTTATTGTTTCTCTGGTTTGATTTGGGCGATAATGAATTAGTTAAAGGCTTAAGTTAAAATAGTACACTTGCAATAACTTTCTTCTTCTGTTACAAAGTGGTTTGAGTGCTGGGACAAGTCCCAAAAAGCCCGTGGAGTCTGGGAGCGCACGAGGCGCCCTGACCGCACTTCCCCGTGGTGGAAGTTGCCCAGGCCTGAGCAGGCTATTATAGCACAGTGCAGGACAGGCCATTGTCCTGTTGGCTCATATTTCTCGCGGCTATGGTCAAATTTTGATTCACGGTGGCCCCGCTGAGAGGAAGAAGAGGAAACCGTGCCTTATATTCTGTTTGACTGCCCCAGACTGGCTGATCTCCGTCTCGACAGGTCTGGGAAACCCAAAATTCTCGACCTCTATGGGGACATTTATGCACTACGCAAGACAGCAGGGTTTCTGTCCAGGGCTTTTGCAAGAGAGGATTTGAGCCTCTCAAGCCCTCACTCTAATGGAGTTTGATGATGATGATGTTACAAACAAGAAAGCCTATCATCCATTCATTTCAGCACATCATACTCACTAACAAAGTGACACTATGATATAGATTTATTGATTTAACAGAAAAGAAAAAAATCTACAAAGGTATAATGGGGAAAGTTATATTTACAAGTTGGCATCAAATTGACCAGCAATTATAGAATTGTTTACACGGCGTCCTTGAAAGTCGTCATGTGTGTCGCTACGTCTTCCACGGACGAGGACCTAGATCTAGATTTACTGCTGGCTAGAGTGTCTGCACTGCTGGACTTGCCTGTGCTTACTCCACTGGATTTAGACATAGTTACAACGGACGCACCTCGGTAAGGTTCTCTAATTTTTATATCTGGAAAAAAGAAACGAGATTAACTAAATACATGGGAAAGAAAAATCTGTGGTGCTATACAAGCACTAGCGGATTCACAACTTGGGATTGGGAGGGGGGGGGGGGCGATTTTTTTCCAAACCCTAAACAAATGACCTGCCATATAGATCACATTAAGGTCTGAAAGGGGAGGATTGCCGCAGAAAAAAAATTGTTCGAAAAATTATTTAAAAAACAACAACAAAAACAAAAACAGCCATGTTGAGGCCTTTCTCTTGACAGTTAAGAGGTCTGGGGGAGCACCGTAAGATACCACAGTGGGGTCCGGGCGAAGCCCCGACGCCAAAAGCGTTTTCTTACATTCTTCACTGCAGAAACACATTCTCCTGATACCCCACATATTTAGATTAAGACTTTGAGGATCGCCGAAAAAAAGAAAAATTCGAAAAATAATATTTTTTTTTAAAAAAAGCTCATTTGCTCAATAGGTATGTTTGTAACTTTGTTTTGTTACAGAACTATAATTCAAAGCTCTAAAAAAAATAATTACGTAAGAGGGAGGAGAAATTAAGTAGGCTAATTAGATTCTAATCTAATTCTTTTTTGCATTTTTAGGATTCATTTTGTATACAATAGAAAAATATCAGTATGAGTAAAGGTTGGAAAAAGGTGACTAGGAAAATAATGTTTGGGTTCAGAATTCATCTTAATTGTTACTCTTATAATGAACAAATGTGTATGAATTCTAAACGTTCGAAAACAAAGTCTTTCTTAAAATAACTAAGATAAATTCGTGTGCAATTACATAAACTCTGTAGCCATATTTGACTATTCTATTTTAAAACGTCATGTTTTCGTCTGTAAAGGGGAGAGGGCGGTAGAGGGAAAACGTCTGCTAATGATTGCAATCGCATTAAAGAATAGGGGGTGGGGCGATTCGATATAAGAATTTAATTTATAGCATAGCCTATATATATTTTTTTTAAATTTTGTAATTTCTTATCTAAAATACAAAAAGAAAAGGGTATTGGTTTGTCCGATGGGCGGAAGGCGATTGCATGTATCGCCCCTCCCACCTGGTACACTCCTTTTTCATTTTATATTTACTGATGATAAAATTTGAGATCAGAGTCTGTGTGCGACATAATATACAAATGGGTTAATACATCAATATTTACCTTATATTATATAGATATTCAACTAATTTTTTTCACAAACTATGATTTCTCCATAAAAATGGGACCGCCCCCCCCCTCAGAGGGCTATAGTGGGGAGGGCAGTTGAAGCAATCCCCCCCCCCCCCCAATCTCACTGAATCGGCTAAGATACCAGAAGTGCAGCGATATAATATAAAAAATTATATAGTAATCATCTAATTTTGTTCACAAAATATGATTTCTAAATAAAAGTAGTACCCCCCCCCCCCCTCTCAAAGGGTTTAGGTGGGAAGGGCAGTAGATGTATTCGCCTCCCCCCCCCCCCCCCCACCTCATCCAATCGGCTAACAGGGAAACGACATAATGTAAATATTGGTTAAAATATCAATAAAAAGTTTTAATTATTGGCCTATAGATATTTAATTGATTCTGTTAACAAGCTGTGATTTCTACAAATAAATTGGACCGCCCCCCCCCCCCCCCCCACTCGAACGTTTATGGTGGGGGGCGGGATCGATGCCATCGCCACCTCCTGTGGTGGAATAAGTCCGCCGATCGGTTCGTTTGCACTTTCCGATGGGGCCGATGGCCTGCGACTCCTAGGAGTAAAGTCTTAGAGCCACAACGTGGTAAATATTTTGTTGGTATTATATAGGCACATAGACAGGCACAAGCAAAACGCAAAGCTTAGTGATTTTGTGGAAGAACAAATATTTAATTAAGAATAATTAAGAAGAAAATACAATCGATGAGTATGGGGGGAGTGTACAAGGTGATTTATAACGAATTATAAGCCAATATCATCGCTGGGGTGTTGCTCATAGAACTCGAGTATGGTTTGCTTATTCGGCCGTCTCTCAATTATCTGTATCCAAGATTCTCCTTCTGGGTGGGGCGAGATGAGGCTCCGTTGTGCTGGCGGCCAGTTGCTGGCGCCCTGCGGGTGGGCAGGCACTAGTGTGATGAATATGAGGATGCCACGCGGTGGGCTTACTCCATTGGTAGGTGCAGACCGGTCCTGGGACTTCAGCCTGGAATGCCTTCAGTTCTGGTCGACGGTGATGAGTGACTCATCCTCGATGGGAATGTGTGGAGAGCTGCTGGGATCTACCTTCAGGCAACAAAACACGCCAGCCCTGATGTAGGAGGCTATGAGATGAGACTGTGGGAGAAGCCTGAATTATTAAACCATACAGGCTGGTTAGCGAGGGGCGCATCCTTGATAGGAGCGTCTCCCTCTGACTAAGATAAATGTTAACGACATTTCACTAGGTCTAATAATAATTGCTGTACAAATAATATAATAATAATATTACGAATACACATATAAATGTACAAGGCAGGGGCATAAATGAGGAGGGAAACAGGGGGACCATATTACAGGGTTGTAGCCCCTGTGACCTCATTGACCCACAGGTAAACAATTCCACTGTCGCTCGTGACCAGAGGACCGTGACAAGAAGAAGGGAGGGGGGGGGGGCTCATAAGGGCTCATAACTATGTAGGCCGACAGGCCGAAAATAGTGGGGTAGACACGCGAGACTGATTCTCGGGGGATGCATGGTAACAGCACAGTATGTGCATAGCAAAAACAAGCATAATTATATGTATATATGTGTGCACATATACAGGCAGGCCTACATATGCACAGGTAAGGAGTTAATCTAGGCGTGAGCAGGTCCAGATGAACATTGACGAGTAAATAAGGAACACATATTCATATAGATTTACAAATGTAATGTTTGGAAGCAAACAAGTGTTAACATGATAATGATACGTGAACATAAATGTTACAGGCGAAGACACCCTAAATAATAATGATAAAGTTTTTCCAACTCACCAGCTTTGCCTCACACAAGTTCCCAAATAAATCGTCGACTTGAAAGTCTTCTGACTTCTCAGTGATTCTGATCTAGAATGGCATTAACCTGAAACTTTCGTCTCCGGCATTTATAGGTTTCCGAGCGATACGTTAGAGTAGTGACGATCCAATGGCCATCGAGTCTTTTGAATTTAGAATTGTTAAATTGGACCAATTGTTTCATTTGGGGCTCACTCACTTGTCTTCATCTCGCGACCGTGGAGGGGGGGGGGGGGGACGAAGGAGGATGAAAGCGGAACCATGCACCAATTATCAGGCTGGACCATCGCTCGATGGCACAGCGGAAGGGAGCGATTTGAATAGCCCT